ATTTTTTTTTGGTCCTATTGTGTTAGGAACTATTTCAAAGTAATGTTACTATGTTTTTTTTGAATATAATTGCAAGGCAGCGATACATAGGATACCTGTTTGAAGCAATAGTAACTAAAGATGTGTCCTAAAGCCTCAGTGCAGTGTACTGCCTTACATCAGGGCGAGCCTGGGAGCTCACACTTTTACTGCAGCTCAGCTGATGGGTGGTAAATTATTAAGCCACAGTAACTGTATGATGTGTCCACATTACTTGAAATCAAACAGGACATTTTGTTGAGAAAAAAAGTTAAGAAACATGCATATTTAAAAGCAATGCAGACAGAGGCATTTCTAGAAAAACATGTTTTCTCATTCATCCATTTGACCGCTCTGAATTCAGTTTATATGCCTGCTGAGATCTGCCCTATATTGTGCTACAGTGTTGGAGGGAGCGAAGCTTGCATGTTTTCAGTTCTGCAAGTACTCATGAATACAACTCACAAATACCAATAGCAATACTGTAAGAATGGAGGAACAAATGGTGATTTGACAAGAATAAGCTGTGCTTGTTTACATGCTGCCGAATTGGAGAACAACTGGACTGCATGTCTTGATCATAGCAAAGCTTTGTGGTGTGTAGTCAATGTCTTGTACAGGGCTCACAGCTGAATTGCTGTGTCTTGTCCTCCTCTGGGCACTGATGGTGCCGTGGCCTCACTGAGAGGCTGATGATGGGATTGTTCAGTGAGGCTACGGAGATGCTGCACCAGTTCTTGCTAATAGAAGGCAGCTTCTGGTCCCGTTCTCCCAAAGCCTCATCAGTTCCCTTCTTCTTGTACAACCAGCTTCAGGTTTGAGCCTGTGTGGAAGGGAAGGTGTTTAGCAGTAGAGTTACCACTTTGTCACTCTTCTTTTTCCTTATTTTTTTTTTCCTTCCCATTCAGATAGCATTTTTGAGTTATTGTTTAGTTTCTTCCCCAAGTAGCTGTGGGTACAGCTATCCAGGCTGACTTTACTGCTTACATTCAACCAAATACTCTTGGGCAAACAGTCAAGGAAATCTTGATATTTTTTCCTTTTTTTTTTATTTGGTTGCTGTGAAGGAAAGATGGTTTAGGATTCGTTTCATGCTCTAGTGAAGTAGGAGGACTAGAAACTCTAAATCTTGGTTTAAGAACTAGTCTTACTGTGTACTGTTTGTGGAAGGGAAATCTGAAGAGTCTAATTAGTCTCTAGAATTAATTGGAAGACTTGAATAGGAAGCCTGGAATTCATTGTCTGTTGAATGACCTCATTAAAACAACGAATCGCACCTCCAAAGCAGAGAGGTAAAGTGATTTCCTCCCTGTTCCTGAATTATCATTTCACCTTTGTTTATTTGTTTTTATTTTGTTTTTATTTTGTTTTTATTCTGCATTAGATGAATGCTTTTGCTGAAGTGAATGCCTTTGATTCAAGGGAAAGCTTTAGAGAAGGGAGAAGACAAATGCCTAAGGCTGACTGTAGATGAGTTCAAATGAACTATAGATTTAGTCTCTGTCTCTCATTTAAATTTGCCTTTAGAATTAGAAAAACAAATTCTAGAAACAATGACTTTGTATTATAAATTAGCAGGACTCTCAGTACTTGTAACAAAAGTGTATTTAAAGGTGGTCTCCTTGCAGAAAATCTAAAATAATTTAAACTGAGTTTGTATACTATTTTGCCTTTTTCCTTTTTCTTTCCATTTACCAAGACCCAAAATGCTGGTACAAGATTTTTCTTCTAAAAGTAGATCTGTCCTGTGTATTTCTGGCTGTAGCCCACCAAGGAATAATTCATAAATTCTTGAGTCTTTAGCGGAATTACTGTTAAATGTTTTCCAGCTCTGCGAATTAAATAAGTATTATATAAGTAGATAATCCAACCTCTGTTACAGAACTACTTTTAAAATAGATTGGTACATGATCAGCTTTCAAATATGGTGCTAAACTCCTAGAGGGGATTTCAGTAAAATGCTCTGTGTAAAATGTGTGCGTATGAGGTTGAGATAGATGTGGATATTAAGCCTTCTGTCAAGCCTCAACTCAAATGTCCACAAGGAATAAAAATGCAATTTTTTTTGTGATGTTTAGAGAAAACAAATGGGTATTACTGTCATAAAGCTGAGTTGGTTAGTTATAAAGTGAAGGCTTATTGAAATGCTGTGAAGTCTCCTCTCCTGTCTCCAAGAGGGAAAAATGTGTGTCTTGGCTAGAATGCTGCCTTTCCTTGATGGAGAGCTGCAAAACAAGAAAGGCACAAGCACAGCCAGCTCCATGCAAGTGTCACATGCAAAATGATACTTAAATCTGAAATATACTGAACCAGTGCTGTGGTTTGCACACCCATGGGATGTGCACAGCAGCCCTACTGCATTTATGTAAAACGTCTACCACGTGTAAAATGCTCGTTGGGTTTTACTGTTTGGTACTGCAGACCCTCATTTCAAGAAAAATTAGTTCCTGAGGGGTAAAGCATTTTCAATCATTATGTGTACTTCAAGTGAATACTACTCCCTTTCTCTTCTCCCTTTCTCTTCCTTAAGAACAGCCTCAATTACTTCACATCTGTTTAGGGGGCTGCCCCTACATCTTGGCAGTACTAAGAAGTTTCTAGGTGGTGTGGAACTTGCTTGAAACCTTCAGCAAATGTCTTGTTTTGCTAAAGAAGGTGTTTGTGGGACTGCTTCAGAGTATAAGGGGAGGAGCTCCCCTCCCCTGCTGTGATGAAAAGCAGCTGACCCCTGTCTGTGTTTCATAACGAGTTCAAGGGCAACTTCTTCCAAACTCTTCTGAGTTGTGGGAGAAAATGGGCAAGAGAAATGGCAGAGGTTGCTCTCAAGGTGGGATATCACAAATGGGTACGGTCAGAGTACCAGGGATGTCCCTGTCCACTCCACAAATGCCCCTTCCTGTAGGGCTCTTATTTTCAGCTTCTGTGGAGCAGTTGGACAGTTCCCAGTTTCAGTGTTTAGTTGCTGCCTTGGCGGTGGGTGAAGGTGGTGCAGAGTATTTGTGGCTTTGACAGATGACTAATAAAGGGAAGAACTGAACTTCAGTCTGTTCCTTCCCAAAGCTGTCTTAGTCTGATGTTTTGGCATGGGAGTACAGTTTTTTATGGAAAGAGCTGTTGAAAGGCAATACTACTAGCATTAATCTCAAGTAAAAATCTTTTAAGATCACTTTAGAGAGTTCACTTCTATGATGATTTCACTGCAGGGTTTCATTTGAGTTTGACAGTGAAAAATCCTGAAGTGCATTTATGTTTCAAACAGCACCATGCCATATTAGTTTTGCATGGCCTTTACATTGATGAAAAGTTAACACACATCCAGTGCATAGTGCACTGAAAGCTGTGAATTTTCAGAGTAAATCTGCTTCCTTCCTTTTTCTGACCTTTGAATGGATGAATACTTTTCTCTGACCAGTTCAGAGTAGATATTGTTGAAGTGGCTTGTGCCTAAGTGGAAAAAGACAGCTTCTAGAGGATGGAGAGGGGGGTATTTGAGGTCTTAACAAATCTGCTTCTCTGATCATCTCTTTAGGCTATCAGTCTGTCCAGATGGGGAGCACAATATTGGTATGAATTGGCCTTGGTCTAGTTAGCTCAGTAGTGGAGGCCAGGACATAAAAGGTTCTCGGTGAGTGTTTGCAGCCCATGCTGATGTGTGCACTGCTCTGCCTTGGCTGCTGTTGGCTGAAGCCACAGCCAGTGGTGGTGCAGCACTACCCGTGGTGCAGTGGTACACGCAGTGCAGTGTAGATCTGCATAAACTGTCAGGAAAGGAAACTGCTCTGTTGCGGTGATACCTGCCAGGATTGTGGTCCCATCAGAAAAAATCTGACATCTTTCTCAAGTTAAAATACACGTTTACAGAGACTTTCCTTACGCACAGTGTAGCACCTGGATAATATAAGTTTCAATGTGACTTTTTTGGAAAGGTACTGTGTTGTCATTTAAGCGGTGACCTTGTTGACTGGAATGTTTAGCCTCAAGCATTCAGCTAGGAAGTCACGCTTCTTGTCCTTTCACATCAACCTGACTGACTAAATCCATAATTGCATTCCGTGTTTATAGCTAAATGATTGCATGATAAGAACCTTTTTTTAGGTGTATACATAGTAGTGTGGGCAAACATTATTCTCCCAATGTGACAGTAAGGGGGTGATTTACCTTTTGATGCATCTGCAGTCATTGTAAGAAATGGTGTACCAAAAGGATTTCAGATAATGCTGCAACTCTGCCAGCTTCTGTTCTCCCACAGTTTACAAAGAGAAAATGTGCTGAAGCTGGGGAAAGTATCACTGTGAATAAAGACTTGGTCCATGAATATTTTTTAATTTTTTTTTTCCTCTCTGTGTAATTCACTGAGCTCCACACCAGTTTCACCCAGCACGAGTCAGTGGTGCTGCCTCTGGCTCCTTGTTTCCTGCCTTGCCTCAGACTGGCATGAACCTGTGTGTGGAGCTGAGTGGTGAGCCTGGGTGAAGGGCTGAGCCAGTTTGGAAAGTAGCAGTGCAAGAGGAAAAACAGCTGAGTTTTTAGCTGGATCAGCTTTCTGTTCCAGCTGAGTATGCAGCCAACCAAAAAGCTAGTGCCGGCACAGAGGGTGGTGAAAGAAACACCTCTTCTGGCAAGAGCGCTGATTTCTGTGCAGGCTTAAACTGTGAAAGTCTGCTTTGACTATTTGCATTGTATCCAGCCATAGATTTTGCTTGATTCAGCAGTTGGTAGAAGGCCCTGTGTAGTAAAAGCTTGAAATACAGCTAGCAACTGAGCCTGAACGCTCATGCAGAGGAAAAGCTAGTTGTTCACACCTCCGCTGCGCCATGAGAGTATGTATATAAGTTTCCTGGAGATCAGGGCAGAGAAATTCCAGCTTAGCAGTAAAAGCTTAAAGAAAAATGTATAGTTTGCTTTGAATTATTTTAAAACTCAAAATCACGGTATTATGGGATCATAAAAATTACTCATGTTTTGTAATCTTTTTTTCCTAGGAATTTATCAAAGAGCTGCTAACTCGGATAAGAGGAATGAGGAAACTAAGCCCCCCTCAAAAGAAGAGTATATAAATAACTTGAAGTAGTAGCACTCTGTAAAAGACATGACAAGGGAAATGGGACTTTGAATACGAGACCTCTATTAAAATAGTTGTCTTTCTCCACAACTTTTTTGATTTCATTCAGTTTTGACTCAAGGAATTTCTTTTGTGTGTTTTAAGGGTTCTTTTTTAAGTGTCAATTTTTTTTTATCAAGAATATCAACAATTTGGATGCTGCTCAACTTTCACTTGAGGATTACTGAAGCAAGTGAAGAATCCAAGAGTTAGTGATGGGGGGCAGCAAGCCTACGTGCTGAAGCAGAAGATCTTGTAAATTTACAGAGCTAGGAGACTTCTCCTTGCAACTAGTTGGATAACGTTTTTTAAGTTGGTTGTACATTTAACTCATGGATGTCAAGTTTCTTGTGCTTGTCTGTACATAAATTATAAAGTGGGTTGTGAATACTGTTTCACATGGATGGAAGGAAAAGTTTGTTACAGTAAATTATTTAAATGGTGGTTATTGCAAATTTGCTACCAGAAGGTACCAATTTAGATTACTAAAATGAGTGCTGCCATTTTTCTAAATACCCTTAAAGCAGCCCAATGAAGAATTTAATCATATCTCCTCACTTAGACTGCAGCATATGAGAATTGGGAATTTTAAGGGCTTAATTTGTAGACCTAAAGTTATTTGACTGACTTTGATGCTTTGCCAGATCATTTCCTCTCCACCTCATGGTGTCTTGGAACTGTGCTAACCTCTACCGAATAAAGGCCTGCAGTGATATCTAGAGAAATGCCCACCACCATTTAAAAGCTGCTTCACGGTGGAGGAAACGCAGTGCTTCCTAAATGAATTACAAGCACTGTCTTGCATTTAGTGATGTGGTCTTAATCGAATGCAGATTCCTCTCCTATTAAGGTAGGCAAAGAATATTATAGCCTTCGTTTATGGCTCTGCCCTGAGAAGTGGGGAGACTTCTTAACTGGGGCTCTCTTACTTGTAAAAGCAAGAACAGAAGAGAGATCCCTGCTCCCTCTTAGAAAATGTCCTAACTGAAATGTTCAATAAGCTACCATATGCTGGTAGGTGACACTAGTCAGGCATTTTATATCAAGGGTGCTCTGAACATATTTTATTTTTCAAAAGAAGTACATGTTTGTGAATTTTATGTATACTGGCAAGCTTTTTTAATGTATTTAATTTTGTAATGTTTACCGATGATTTTATTTACCAGATATTTACTCAAATAAATGGAACAACTTGTGACTTGTTACATGTACACTTTACAAGACTACTGTTGCTGAGTAGGTTGGTAAATGGACTTGCTCTTCAAAAAGAGAAGCCTGTGAGGTGGTAAGTACATGAGAACCCAGCTGTACAGATCCTAATTGGCTTTTAATGTGCCCCGTATCACTCGTCCAAACTCCTGTAGCCTGGTGCACCCAAAAGCCTTGCTTTTGCAAGTGTTTTACAGATGGGACCTTCCTGCCTTCCCTGTGCTGTGGGGGATTTAAAAATGAACAAAAAAAGCCTGGAAAAGTCTTCAGGTAAATGCTGCTACTTCCTTTTTTCCTTCCACTAGAGGTGAGAGTAGGGGAGGGCTTACACTGGGTAACTCAGTTCACTACTGAAGCTGTGGCAGAAGGGGGTCTTTCAGCAGGAGGCTCTCTACCATGCTTCCCTTCTGCACCTCTCTGTATTCTCCTCAAGAAATTCCAGCAACCCTAAGGAAAAACTTGATTTGTCTGCCTGCAGCATCTTAAATGTAAATATTGTGCCTTGCTGAAGTTGTAATTCACCTCTGGTTTCCTAAGGTGTCTTCCAGCAATCTTTTTTAAAATTGTGGAGTGAAATCTGTGCTCCAGGGAAATTGTGGGAAGCTTGTGATTTCATTTGGGTTTGTGTTGGGATGTCCCACTATCGTTGCCAGCATTATCTGTGGGATGTCTTTGGCTCTGAAAGAGGCCCAGTGCGAATGACCTGTCTTGCCACAGGGAGATGATTCTTCTTGGTCTGTGCTCCGTGCAGAGGAACTCATGTAGCTACATCTAAATGACCAAGTTTGTAGTAGCATCACCCTTTGAAGGAGTGAGAGGTACAGGAAAAGCTTTCTTAACTCCTGAGGTAAGGGGCCTTTTGTCAGATTTTTTTATTTTTTATTTTTTTTTCCGCTCAACTGTGTAGGCAGAAATCAATGCTGTTAGTAAAGAAGTCTTAGTTACTAGCAAACTTCTGATGTTGGACTGGGCAGGTACTTTCACAGGCCTTAAAAACCCTATTTGTTTGTAAAAGCATTGATAGCCTTTTGTAATCACCAAGTTTATTAGTCCAAAATGTAAAAAAAACCTTTTGATTTGAGATTTGTTAGCGAGTTTTGAGCTGGTGTCTGAAGTGCTGTCTGCTCATGGGCACGGTTCCCTGGCTCGGTGAATTTATTCATGTGTGTTTAACATGTGGGCTGAAACAACGGAGAGCGTGCAACACACCTTTTCAACTGCTGAGGTGGTTACATTCTGCAGGTGGTATTTAGAAATAACCCCAAGTCTGAACATTAAAGGTTCTAGTAATTTCCACATCTACAGATGCATTTTTACTTCATTTATTATTTCAAATATAATTTTTTTCTTCCTTTATAATAATGGTGTGCGAAATCAGAAATGTCAAGTAATGCCAACTGTACCAGTTCTCTCACCTCCTGCAGCAAAATGCTGCTCCAAATAATATTTTTTTCCCCTCATGTTACTTGGCTAAACAATACCCACCCAGCTGCCTGCATCGCATATTTCACAGAATCACAGAATCGTAGTAGTTTGCATCTTTTGTCCTATTCATCTTACACTGAAGTAGCTGTGGAAAATAGCAGCCTGCCTCTTTTAAAACCAATTGGTTTGGTGATACACTTAAAAACAATGAAGACTGGGACAGTCCTTACTATTTTTTCACAGAATCACAGAATCGTAGTAGTTTGCATCTTTTGTCCTATTCATCTTACACTGAAGTAGCTGTGGAAAATAGCAGCCTGCCTCTTTTAAAACCAATTGGTTTGGTGATACACTTAAAAACAATGAAGACTGGGACAGTCCTTACTATTTTAATTTTTTTTCTTACGTGGATGGGACAGTCACTTCTGTGAAGGGCTTCCTCTCCTCTAGCTCTACATGTTTTTCTGTCGTACGAGTGTCGGTGAGCAAACCCAAACTCTAAATAGCTTTTTGGAGTTAGTTTGGAGTTTGGAGCTGGCCTGATTTTTACTGGAGGCTCACAGGGTCTCATTCTTGCTACTTTTTACTTAATGGAGGTACTCTTGGCCTTGGTGTAAGTGAGGGTAGAATCGACCCATTCACTTAAGATTTCATTGTGCTTTATGTCTTTATACTGTGTGGGTGTTCTTGGCTCTGGGCAATATTCGAGGGGCATATCAATAGCACACTGTTACTGAAACAACTTGAAATTAAGTCTTACAGCCCAGGCTCTTCACTGCCTTGGCAGGACAGCTTTCATCAGAAGGGCCAGCTCTGGCTGCAATGAGAGCTTCCTCTGGGCTTTTTAAGTGGCTAATGAAAGGAACTGAAGTTCCCTCTTTAAGTATGTAGTGAAGCTGAGGTTTTCGTTTTGGTATTGAAGTGCCACTCCAGTGTACAAAGATTGTCTGCAAGTGTGTGTGTTTCTGGGGTCTGTTTCATGGCATAATTAGCCTTTGCATGTTTTACAGCAGGAGCTGAGAGTATGATGTCTCCTGTGGTTGCTCTTCCAGTTGGCTTAGAAAGAGGAGGAAAGTGCTTATAATCATATTTAGTGCACCCTGTGAGGCTGCAGTGATAAGATTGTGTATTCCTGTGGCACAGAAGAAAGGAGATGATCCATTCTTCTGCCAGCCCTGTTTTTACCCCTTCCCCCCTTTATTCCTATGGTGGGTTTTACTCCTGAAAGTTGCAATTCATGCAGGGAACATGTGGGGAAAACGTGGGAAGGAAGCTTTTCTTGTTCTTGAGAACATGACCAAGAAAAGCAAGAGCAAAATAGCTGCTCCTTTTGTGCACTTCAAATTCTTTGACACTGAGTCTTGGTAAGAGCCTTTAGGACTTCACCCTGGTAGGTATAATAGTGTATGTGAAATTGGAATTACTCAGCAATCTATTTCTATGATGGTTTTGCTGATTGAAGACAGCCTTAATGTAAACATGCACCTCCAGGGTTTAAAAAAAAAATAATCATGTGGGCCACATCAACAGAGAGCCTGTTGCTTGGAAACTAGAAGATACAGGTCTCATTCTGAACAAACAGTTGAACTTAAACACTTGGCAAAGTGCTGTAACAAAAGGATTAATTGCTTCTTGGCTACATTAGGCTTATCATTGCCAGCATCATGCACAGATATTAAGCAGGTACTGAATAACTGCATGCGTTGCTTTTTAAAGGATGTTAATATTTAGGGAGGGAGGCAGAAGAGAAATCAAGTGCTGGGAAGTCTAGGGGAAAAAATCACTAAGAAAATTACCTGTTACATATTTAGCTATTAAGAAAACTGAGAAGAGTCTTGCTTTGCTGCATATATTTCTGTGTGGTAAGAAAATGAGAAATGTAAGAGTTTTCATGTATTGGAGAAAACCATAAGGAGGAAGAATGCCTGGAAGGTAAAGAAAGGAAACTTGAAGTGTGGAAGAAGATAGAGCACCTCGATGGTGAGGGTGAGGAGCCCTTTGAGCCTGCTACTGAGGGTCACTGTCTATTAGTATCCCCAAGTTGAAATTGGAGGCATTTCTAGATAAGTTATTCAATTCAGTCGGATAATCATAGGCCTTAAAAGTCTAGATATCTGCTTCAATTTTTTTTTTTTAAGAATTTTGTAAAGCAGAGAAACCAAACTGATTTGTATATTTATGTATTGTGGACATGTCACTGCATGCCTATGTAGTGGTCAAATCAGATTACCAGTACCAGCTACATACATTATATACAACTCTATTACTTTTTATTTGATTTCCACGTTACTACTTTTTTTCTGTCAGTAAGTAAATAGTAGGTGTGAATGTAATTAAAGTTGCTATTGAAACCTAGAGAGAAATTAAAGTGAAGAAGAGAAGATGTGCCTAGGAGGTACTTAGTGTTGCAAAATTATTCTTGCCATCAGTGTAAATACTGAGTTCCTGAAGTTTTGAGATAGTGATTTATAATAATCTTACCTAGTGCTGATGGGGTTTTATTTGCTTTATTATTTCTTTTTTTCAATAGAACTAATGACCAAATTCTGAGGTGGCAGCTTATACTACTTAGAATTTTCTGTTTTCCAACAATAATTGACATGAGATTTTTTTAAAATGTGTCAAAGACTGAAGCTTCCTTTGGAGGTGCAGTGAACAGGTTTGGTTTGTCTGACTACCCCTTCTAGGGGGCAGAGGGGGACAAGAGCACAAGAAACTTTCCTGACTCCTAAAGGAGGATCCTGCATCAGTCTCTGGCTTTGTGGATGGGTCTGTGTACCCTCACGTAACCCATCGTCATACTGGGGTCAGATATATGAAGACCTGGAGCGTGCAGATCTATGACAGGATTGTATTTATCCAGGATTGGTATTTCCCTTCATATTGCTTGACCTGAGGTAAAATACAGTTGGAAAAACGCTTATTTAATATACTGATCTATAGCAAAGAGGGAATCCCAACAGGGATACTAGGTTGAAACTCCCATCAGTATCTGCTGTTTCCCAGTAAGAGAAGCCAATTTGTGATGGTGGCTGCTGTGCTGACCCTGGGGACACGATTCCCCATGGCTCTGTCTGAACCTGACTTTGGGTCAGGGCCTGTCTTCCTCTTTGTGAAGCCTCTGCTGCCGCAGTAAGTAGCAGGTGCCTTCATGAAGCAGAGGAAACGTCTTCAACAGATGCCTCGGGCTTGTCCAGCAACCAGTGCCCAGCCAGAGCCATGTCAAGACTACAGGCAGCGTGCCATGATGGTGCTTGAGACAAGGGCTCTAGAGTTGACTTAGTGAGCTACCACTGTGGTAGGCTAGATAGGTAGGCTTCAGGTGTGTCCTAAGAGTTGCCACAACAGAGAAGCTTCTGAATGCTGCTTGTGGGTTACTTAACAGTGTACCTGGACAGCGTGGTGGGCAGAGGGGGACAGGGCACTGTAGAAATGTAATGGATCATGCAGCTTGGTTGACTACCACACCATTCCAAAACCGGAGTCAGGCTCAACCTGTGCTAAAGTGGGCCCTTGGACAGTTTCGTACCTTGCTCTTGCAACTAACCATCTACATGCAGTTCCTTGTGTCTCTCCAGTCTC